CCACAGCCTCATCACGGCTTGCGGTGCCCTGCCACGAGCTGCCTTTATGGCGATACATCGCGCGACTTAGCACATGACCGCACAACTGAAGGGGCCCTGGGACACACAAGTAAATACACACAAATATTTTCTGGGTTTTTGTCTTCCCCCCCACTTCCCATATTTTCCCACATTTCCTGAGGAATCGACGATGAATTATGTCTGTGTGTGTTTTCCCCTCCTGAACGACGTGGCGCATCATGGAACAAAGCACCCAACCACATCGTGCCTTAACACAATTTACACAACATCCCTTATGAATCGTCCCCCGGGTCCTGTTTTTGAAGGCGCCTTTTTTGTAACTGGGGGGGTCTGGTTTATTAGGGTGCTTTCTTTGCATTGGAGCTTAAGGGGTCCGGTTTATTAAGGCGCCCCGTCTAAGAGAGGGGGCCGGAAAATTAGGTCGCATTTTGAAGGGGGGTCTGGTTTTTTAGCGGGGGGTCGATTGACAAGGGATTTGGAGTAACACATCATGCCACACCGTGGAATCGAAAGCCCGAACTTGTCACGACATTACATAACGCGACACAACCTGCCATCACATGAGACCTACATCACAGCACAGAATGCGGGGACACGGCATGCATTGATATGTGCAACGCAGTACGCGAGGCAGCACGTGTGTATCGCTGCCGGCTAGACAACGCCCCGTGACAACAAGAGGCCTGCCTTGGAAGTGCTGTCGCGAAGCGCGAGAGATACCTAAACGTGCCCCGCGTGAACCTGTAGTGCGCGTTCGTGAAGCATCCCAAAGGCCAAGGCGTCACGCGCCCGCCGCACATCGGCCCGTGCCGCCATCCAAACGACTCCGTCGCGTGGCAGAAGATGGCGTACCGAACGACGGTGCGCCAAACACCCTCTCTCGAACTAGCTCCCTCAACAGGAGAAGTGATAACGATCAACAAAAACATCAGGTTCTGAAGAAGCCATCGTGAAATATGGAACAACAATATCCAATTCGTCATATGCCGTCCCTGGAGCGAGACCGTTCGGGCTGCCCAATCCATCCTTTCCAGAAACGTCCAGGAGCGCCAAATTTCGTCCGACGGTAACGACATGCTCGCCGATCGTCCAGATACATCAGATCATGTATGTTTCTGGCAATCGCGTAAACCGATTGAGCCGAAACTCAGCTCGGTTGGCTCAGAAACGATGCCCCAACAACGCGTCTATTGAAGACGATTGCGTGACTGCGTCTGGCCACATTGCGTCGATTTCAATGTGCGCTGGGGCCTGAGAAGAGGTACTGGTATGCGTCCCCTGCTCGCCTAGCATGAAGATATTGTTGAACATTAGCTGGGCTGCTGCATGACACTGCTGCCAGACACTCCGGACCACCGTGGGTGTGCGTTCTGCGCGTTGACGAGGGAATCTTTATTAATCTCCTGCTCCTCCTTCTCCTCCTCCTCCTCCTCCTCCACCTTCTCCTCGTCTTCCTCTGACAGAACCTGCCTCGAGATGGCACACTCCCTTGTTTCGTGCGCAGAACTCATCGAATATGCTTCGCCAGACTTGGCACCCCAGTTCAGTTCGAATGCCGCTAATGACCCCGAGGCGAACTTTAAAACACGGCGATATGGCTGTCGGGGAGGATGGTTAGGAGTAGGAATAGCATGAATCTAATAACCGATGTGGGCGAGGGTGAAGAGGATGAGGAGGTGCAGGGCGTCGATATTGCCTTGTGCCTGGACTGGGAGCGACGGCGACATTAAATCATCCGACGGTGACCTTAAATCACCCAAAATGGCTCTGAGCAGAGGGAGAATCGCGCCGCATCGCCGATGCACCTGCGCCGTCGGGATGAAACAAATCGGACTCCAAATCGAGCCGCACCGCCGATGGTGCCATCTTCCGACCCCGTCCCAGACATTCGATACATGAGATGTTCAATCCGGGATCTCCAGCGGCCGTTGTTTGGAACCCCTGGGGCTGGCTGCTTGATGGCCCTGGGGCTTGACGAGGGCCCCAGGAGGCCGAAAACGGCGAAAGACTCCCCAGATTGCTCTTTCCCCTAAGACAGCCGATGGCCTGGGACCTGCCGCGGTTCCATCTGGGCAGCCGGGGGTGCTGGCTGGCGGCCAGCCCAGGGGGGAAGTGAGAGGGGGCAGGCCTTCTCCGAGAAGTCCTCTGCGCCTCCCCCGCAGACGGGGAACGCTTCTCAGAAGGAGCGAGGGCTTCTGAGACGCCCCGCCGCCTTCTGAGAAGGCCTGCCCCCTCCCCCCACTCACGACAGCCGCGCTCGTGAGGCCCGGCGCAGGCGCGGGCACCTCCCCGCCGCTCGGCGGGCCCTCCCGGGGCCCCCCCACCGGCTCCGTGCGCGACCCTCTCCGCGGCCCCCGCAGGCTGCCGGCCTCCCAGGGCCTCCCCGCTCGGGGGGGCCCCGAGGCCTCCCCGGGCCTGCCCCTCTTCGGGCTCGGGCTCCCGCCCGCGCGCTCGTCGCCGTCGGCCTGCCTCTCCCCTCTGTCCCCCTCCGCCAGGGAGCACAGCCTGCCCAGAATCGGAGCCAGCGGCGCGACGTGGAGTCCCCTTCGCGGCAGTTGGGAAGGGGGCCAGAGACCCCAGGAGACCCCAGGAGCTCGGGCGCTGCTCAATTGGGGGGAGGGCGATCACTGGGGGGGGAGAAACGTGCGCCCTTCGTGTCCCTAGGCCCGAGGGGGCCTCTGTCGGGCACAAAAGGTGCCCCATTCTTCGCCCCCCAGTTTGGTCGCTCGCGCACGCAACGCCCGAGGCCCAGACCCGAGACCCACACCGGGACGGTCCCATAGATCCGGAGGGCTGGGAGCGGGGGGAGTGAGTATCGTGTAATCCGATCCCCAGCCCCAGCGGCGTGGGCTGGGCCCCACTGGCCGATTTACCCCCCTAGATGGGGATAAAGTCCGTTCCCTTCGGGTTTCGAAGGGTGTATCCCCAACTGGGGTGGTGATTTGGTGGGGGCCTCGAAAGGGATGGGGATGGGGATGGGGTGCACGGTTTCCCCCTGGAGCCGTAGGCGACCCGGAGGAGGAGGAGGAGGAGGAGGAGGAGAGGAGGAGGAGGAGGAGGAGGAGGAGGAGGAGGAGGGGAGGAGGAGGGGGGGGGAGGAGGGGAAGGAGGAGGAGGAGGGAGGAGGAGGAGGAGGAGGAGGAGGGGGAGGAGGGGGAGGAGGGGGAGGAGGGGGAGGAGGGGGAGGAGGATTGGGGAGGAGGATGGGGAGGAGGATGGGGATGGGGATGGGGATTGGTCAAACGATACCGAGGGAGGGGGCGTCCGACTCCCATGCGCCCGTCGGCAGAGAGTGCCAGCCGGTGCTGCCCGCGGCCCCGCGCACGGGGCCCTGCTGGTGCAGCTGGCACAGACTCGGGCAGGACTGGGTTTAGTGGGACCCAAGATGGCCCCAGAACGGCCCAAGAGACCCCCAAGACGGCCCCAAGAGGGCACAAAGAGGCTTTTAAGACGCCCGAGATGGCCTCCAAGACGGCCCTGGAGCATTCCAAGAGGGCCCCGAGTCGGCCCAGAGAGGCCCCCGAAACGGCTTCCGACGGCGTCGGACGTTTAATGATCTGTATCGGGGACGCCCCCCCCCTCCCATTCCACTAACCGGAACTGCCGTCACCCGAAAAGCACCGGCTACGGCAGACCTGGTTAAGCGATCCCAATCCAAATCTTAGGCTTCGGGGCCCAATCACTAACCGGCTCCCCTTGATCGGGGTCCTGGCTATACCCGACAGACACGACTCTGAGCAAGCCTCGGACGCACCGGAGCGACGAAAAGAGAAGAGTCTTACTAGAGGGCCGCTGGCGCGGCACGCCACGTTGGAGACGAGGGCGCCTACGCGCGACCTTACGCGAGCAATTTGCGCGCGAATGTCGGCGCAGTTGAACCCGTTTTTTTTTGTCGCTCACCTCTGGACGTCGTTCTGATACAGTCAGCGTGTTACCACAAGGAACGCATGACGGGGAACGGGGCGGCTTTTCTGGCCACGGCGGGCCTAGGCCACAAACGAGTTGCACGATATAGATATAAGGAACGACGCGAAAACCCTTATTTCAGCGTCTCGACTGTAATTCTGCGTTCTGCGCGCGCATCGGACGCACCTCCGGACGTCGTTTTGATATCACGAGCTAAGGTTCAATCAGCCGTCTCGGACCCGACTCGGCGGCAGAAGCGACGCAGAATCCTACCAACTCTGGATCACTGTGGACGGGCGGGGGAAAGTAGATGGCGGAGGAGGCATGGGACGATCGCGAGGGTCAGAGCCACGCTTCGGCAGGCTCTCGAATCTTGCGGCGCCCTGTCACGAACAGCTCATCCTGCTCCTTCCTTCTTATTTTCTCCTCCACGCTCTGTTACCTTCTCCTTCTCTTCCTCCCTGCTTCTCTCTTTGCTCCTCCCCTCCCTGCTCCCTGCCCCCACCCTCTCCTCCAAATTCCTTCCAATCCTCGCTGCCACCTTCGCCACACATCCGCCCCCGACCCTTCCTGGGGCCCACCCTGGTCACTTTTCTGAGTCGCGTCCAGCCGTGAGGCCGAGAACCTCCAGAGCAGCGCGCAACGAACTACGAGGTTGTCGTCGTCGTCCTCCTCCCCATCGTTGTCGGCGTCCTCATCGGCGCCGTCGCCGCAGCCGCCACCGTCGTTGTCGTCGCGCCCGTTGCGGTCGCCGCCGTCGCCGCCACCCGCATCGTCGTCACCGTCCCTGAGATCCGACGTTGCGACAAAAAAGCGACATCGTCACTAACCACGACCAGAGCCCTAAGACCCAATCTTTGTGCGGCATTTTCGAGCCAGACTTATCTATGATGGCCCCAGGGCAGCAAAACAGGGCGAATGCGCCCAGTGTGAACAGAAATGCAAACGCTTGGCTCTCAGGAGTCGCCGCCGCCCCCGCCATCGCTACCGCTGTCCTCCTCGCCGCCGCCGCCGGCGGCGGCGTCGCTGTCGCCAACCTCCGTCGCCACCGCCAGCGTCCACCGAGAAAGGGCCTCCGCCGCCTCCCGCTCCAACGGTGCGGCCAGCGAGTGCCGGCCGCGCTCCACCGCGGCGGCGACGTCCCCGGCGGCGCGCCGCGCGATCTCCTCTCCGTGGCTCTCGTCGTCGTCGTCGACGTCAGGGTCGCCCTCGCCGCCATGGTTATGGGCTGCGTCGCTGGCTGCGTCGCCGTCGTCGCCCTTGCCGTCGTCGCCGTCGTCGTCATCGCTGCCACCGTCCTCGCGGCCGTCTGTCGTCGTCACCGTCCTCGTCGTGGTCCTCGCCGTCGCCGTCCTCGGGCGTCATCCTCGTCGCCGGGCCGCGACGGGCTCTGCCGCCTGCCGCGTGGTGGTGACGCCGATGACGGCGAGTACAAGACATGCACAGGTTTCTAAGCGCGGACACTTGCGGGTGCAAAGGCGCACGAACATTGACACGGACGCAAGGGTTGGGAGCCACAGGTATACTTCCACATAGAAATATATCGGAGGCTCGGGAGTTCTATCGGAGTGGAACGGGGAGCCCCCCACAATGAAATCGGTTTTGGCTTTGGGTTTGTGCGGGCGAGGCGAAGTTGCGTGGGCGGGCAAGAGGAATGACTCCGCTGTGGCCAAAGCGGGTCAGAACCGTTGACCCGTCCCCCTCTCCGCAGCGGTGGCCCGGGTGTCCCGCCTTGTCCGGTGTGCCGTCGCTGTCTCGTCGCGATGGGCGGGCTACAGCCGGGTTGTCCCGCCAAAATGTCCCATCGGTTGGTGTCCCGTCGGTGTCCCGTGGTGTCCCGTGGGTGTTCCGTGTGTGTCCCGTCAATGTCCCGTCGGTGTCCCGTCGGCGTCCCGTCGGTGTCCCGTCGGTGTCCCGTCGGTGTCCCGTGGTGTCCTGTGGTGAGACCGATAGTGAGATCGAACAGGACATCGATTGGTGTCACGTGGTGTCCCGTCGGTGTCCCGTCGGTGTTCGGTGGGTGTCCGGTCAGTGTCCCATCGGTGTCCCGTCGGCGTCCCGTCGGTGTCCCGGCGGCGTCCCGTCGGTGTCCCGTCGGTGACCCCTGGTGCCCTGTGGTGACCGATAATGATATCGAACCTGACATCGATTGGTGTCCCGTGGTGTCCGGTCGGTGCCCCGTCGGTGACCCGCGGGGTCCCGTCGGTATCCCGTCGATTTCCCGTCGGCATCCCGTCGGTGTCCCGTCGGTGTCCCGTCGGTGTCCCGTCGGTGTACCGTCAGTGTCCCGTCGGTGTGCCGTGGTGTCCTGTGGTGGGATCGAAGATGAGATCGAACATGCAATCAATTGGTGTCCCATGGTGTCCCGTTGGTGTCCCGTCGGTGTTCCGTGGGTGTCCCGTGGGTGTCCCGTCGGTGTCCCGTCGGCGTCCCGTCGGCGTCCCGTCGGTGTCCCGTCGGTGTCCCGTGGTGAGATCGAGAATGAGATCGATAATGAAATCGATTGGTGTCCCGTCTGTGTCCCGTCCATGTCCCGTCGGTGTCCCGTCGTTGTCCCGTCGGCGTCCCGGCGGCGTCCCGTAGGTGTCCCGTCGGTGACCCGTGGTGTCCCGTGATGACATCGATAGTGAGACCGATAGTGAGATCGAACCTGACATCGATTGGTGTCCGGTGGTGTCCCGTCGGTGCCCCGTCGGTGACACGCGGGGTCCCGTCGGTGTCCCGTCGATGTCCCGTCGGCGTCCCGTCGGTGTCCCGTCGGTGTCCCGTCGGTGTCCCGTCAGTGTCCCGTCGGTGTCCCGTGGTGTCCTGTGGTGAGATCGATGATGAGATCGAACATGAAATCGATTGGTGTCCCGTGGGTGTCCCGTCGGCGTCCCGTCGGTGTCCCGTCGGTGTCCTGTGGTGAGATCGATAGTGAGATCGAACAGGATAGTGAGATCGAACAGGACATCGATTGGTGTCCCATGGTGTTCCGTCGGTGTCCCGTCGGTGTTCCGTGGGTGTCCCGTGGTGTCCCGTCGGTGTCCCGTCGGTGTCCCGTCGGCGTCCCGTCGGTGTCCCGTCGGCGTCCTGTCGGTGTCCCGTGGTGTCCCGTGGTGAGATCGATAATGAGACCGATAATGAAATCGAACGTGAAATCGATTGGTGTCCCGTGGGTGTCCCGTCAGCGTCCCGTCGGTGTCTCGTCGGTGTCCCGTCGGCGTCCCGTCGGCGTCCCGTCGGTGTCCCGTCGGCGTCCCGTCGGTGTCCCGTCGGTGTCCCGTCGGTGTCCCTGCGGTGTCCCGTGGTGAGATCGACAATGAGATCGAACATGAAATCGATTGGTGTCTCGTGGTGTCCCGTCGGTGTTCCGTGGGTGTCCCGTCAAGGTCCCGTCGGTATCCCGTCGGCGTCCCGTCGGTGTCCCGTGGTGTCCCGTCGGTGAGATCGATAATGAGATCGATAATGATATCGAAAATGAACTCGATTGGTGTCCCGTGGTGTCCCGTCGGTGTCCCATCGGTGTCCCGTCGGCGTCCCGCTCAGTGTCGCGTCGGTGTCCCGTCGGTTTCCCGTGGTGTCCTGTGGTGAGATCGAGATCGATTGATGTCCCGTGGTGTCCCGTCGGTGTCCCGTGGGTGTCCCGTCAATGTCCTGTCGGTATCCCGTCGGCGTCCCGTGGTGAGATCGATAGTGAGATCGATAATGATATCGAACATGACATCGATTGGTGTCCCGAGGTGTCCCGTCGGTGCCCCGTCGGTGTCCCGCGGGGTCCCGTCGGTGGCCTGTGGTGTCTCCTGGTGAGATCGATGGTGAGATCGGTAGTGTGACCGATACTGAGATCGATAGTGAGAGTGATGCTCCGATAGTGTCCCGATTGGTGTCCCGATTGTGTCCTGGTGGTGTCTCGACGGTGTCCTGAGCGGTGCTGGCATCGATGAGTTCGCCGAGTCCGACGGGCTCAGGCTAATGGCGCACAGTTCACTTGTGGGCGGTGGCGCGAGCGCAGAAAAAACACATAACATCGTCATCAGCATCCACCCACGGCTCTCAGCATGCAACCATCACAGCTGGTGTCCCGATGGTGTCTCGATCGTACCCAACGCCAGTCATTGTGAGGTCGATAATGGGATCGATAGTTGGATCCATCGACAGTGGGATTGGCCGTGAGGTCGATGGTGAGATCGATCGATGGTGAGGTCGATCGAGTGGGGTCGACAGTGGGGTCACATCGCGACGCAGCATCGTCACCACGCGTCGTCGCCAACTCGAGGGCGCACCACAAGCATCTCCATCAGCGCAGCCATCGCAATTGTCGTTAGTTGGTTCTTCCCATCAAGCCTCCTTCTCACCCCAAGGGTGGTCGTACAGGTGTGTGTGTGTGTGTGTATATATACATAAAACTACATCAAATTATATATAGATATATGTATACACTAAGTTCTGCAAGCCTTCGCCCGAAACATAATGTACACATCCGCCACCGTGCCGCTATGGCACGAAGTGGAGTGTCCCCAGGTCCCTCGCTCAACCCCTGAGCCTCAGTCCTCAATTCTGGGGATTCTTTAGGGGGCCTGGACCCCCAACTCTCAAATACTCTTGGGCTCCCGGCGTGCCTTCTGCGGCCCCCGGCGTGCTTCCTTGGGCCCGTCGGAAGGTCCTCAAGAGGCTGCCCAGACGGTCCAAAAGGGCCCCGAATTGCCGCACGGTCGGTCCAATACGCCCAAGGTAGCCCCAAGACGGCTCCCAAACCCTTCGAGGCGCCCAAAGAGAACCCCAAGAGCCTTCCCAAGAGGGCCCCGAGAGGCCAAAATCGTTGTTTTACCCTTTGGCTTTTCAATGTGTTTAGGGTCCTAGACTTTTTGAGCTTCCGACGCTCCAAGACGGCCCAAGAAGCCCCCAAGACCAGCCGGCCCAAGAGGTCCCCCAAACGGCCCGAGAGGGCTCCAAGATGGCCCTAGAGACCCCCCAAAAGCCTCAAGCAGGGCCCAAGAAGGGGAACTCGAACAGACAGTCCGAGTCTTCCACCCCAAGAAGCCCCAAGAGGCCACGAGGCTCCCAAGAGGCCCGATGAGACCCCCAAGAAGCCCCCAAGACGCTCCCAGGGGCCCCGAAACGGCGTCAAAGAGGCCCCAAAACGGCCTCCAAGAGGCCCCCGAGAGAGCTTCCGTGACATCCCCACGAACATCCTCGAGGCCTACGGCCCACACCTGGACACTGTGGCCGGATTTGCCGAAGGCCATTCGATTGTGTTGAATGCCTCACGCTCACGTTCAGCGGCTAAGAATGTGGTTTCATTGTAATGTTTCCTTCCCTGGAGTGCACACCACCAGCTGCTCTTCGGACGAGGCGGAGGCGCTGCGAGGGCGCTCGCGTCCCGCCCGGGGCGACCGCGAGGGCATGCGAAGGCAACGCACGAAAGGAAGCATTGCGAGAGGGAAGCAGCAGGCCGAGGAAAGAGAAGCGCGGGCGTAAGAGGTAACAGGAGAGGCGCGGTGAGGCGCGGGAGACCCAAAACGTTGGCGCGTTGGACATCCTGGTACCTGCCATCAAAACTTTTGCAAGACAGCTGAGATCGACTGCAGGTGTGATTCTCCAAGCTCGAGGGTGCAGTCGGGCGCGTGCAAGGCCGGTACAGTGGTCGAAGGCAGAAGCTGCGGTGCGATTCACTTGCTGTTCGCAGGATGTGAGCTCGGTGCTGCGATATCCGATGTAAGAAATCGTAGCGCGCCAGGTGCGTGCTGACTGCAAGTCGTACTCTCCTTCTTCGAATGCGATGCGCTGAGAACCACGAACTCGGTTGTGTATCGGTAGCTCTGGTGCCGAGGTAGACTTGCGGTACCCGTTGACAAGTTGGGCGGGTAGGTCACACCCAGGGTCGCCAAGCGTATGCCGGTATCGGAAAACCGACACGACTAAGGGTACCTCGCCAAAACTGTGCCATTGCCCGTTCGCAACCGCACGCATGTTTTGTCGTGCAACGCCGCGTTGGAAAGCACCCGCGGTCAACGTGCCACGGGCCACGTTAACCACTGATTGATTCAATCACATTGTGTGGCCGCGTGCACCAGCCAAGTAGTCTCGGCCGGTTGACGAGGGCTGCGCATTTTCCTCCACTGGCGAGGTGACGACACCGTCGCGAAGCGCTACGCGCTAAGCGCGCACACAGACACGCACGAGCACTTTGCGCATTCGCGGGCCGCTGGGACCGTCGTCCCGCAAGTCACGACAGCAATGTCCACTGGCTGCATCCATCGGAGGAGGGCCAGCTGTGACAACGGCGGCTCTCCACTCAAAATCGATTCCTGGGCATTTCCGAGGGTCCATCCTGTCCTGCTTTTTGACGCGGATCCACCCGTGGCTGCGAGGAGCCCCCGGGAGGCCCAAACACGACAACAGATGCCAGGGAGGGCCGCCGTTGTCTCGACTGGCCCCCCTCCGATTGTCTTCGGGCGAACACTCGGGCCCTGGGCGGCCATTCGGGACGAATCCGGCACCCTTGGAACGCCCGTGACGAGGCGCGGCTGACGGGAACCATCCCGGGTCCCGAATGCCTTTTCAAGCGCATAGGACATACGAAACCACTTGAAAAGATCAGCAACCCTTCCGAACACATTCCAAAGCCTTGCGGAGCCCTCTGAACAAGGCGCCGAAGTAAGGTTGCGAGGCGGGGACTTATCCATATCCACCGCCTGGGAACCGACGTCCTGGTGCCCCAGCGGGCGGTGGATATGGATATATTTCGGCCCCCGGGGGCCCGAATCTGTCCAGATCCACCGCCTGCCGAGGCTCCGAACACTGACCCTCCAGGCGGTGGGTATGGATACATTCCCGCCTCGGAAAGGTCCTCCTAGGTCGCACAACTTTGCGCATCGCGCTCCACGATGCGCGGCTATGCTCGTGCTCCCGCGGTACCGCCTTGGAGCAGGGCAGCTCTGCAGCCCGGGCCGCGACGCGCGGAGCGCGATCATCTTCGCGTCCCTGGAGCTGACCTGGAAGGTCGCACTCGCGCCATCCACGATGTGTTTTTTCCTGCAGTAGCAGAAGAAACAACAACGCCATAAACCATACACATCAACTTTTGACGCTCCGCGCGGAGCGCCAAAAAATGATGTTTACGGTGTTTTTCTGTTCTTCTTCGATGTATACCACCCCCTCCCTGCCCCAGGCAGGTTCCACCGCCCGGGGCCGCGCTCGGCGCACAAAAACTGCGCCCCAGGGAGGGAACCCTGGTGCACCGGGCCCACGACCAGGACTCCCTCGCCCGACCCCCCCGTGGCTTTTGGGCACAGTGTACGGTCGGACCTGGGCCAGAAGAATATCCCTCAAGAACATGAGACCCTCCGCCGGCCAAAACAAACAGAACATCCACGGGCACCCTCTCCAGGATGCACAGAAGCATCCCACGAACACGAAGGACACGAGGGTACTCTTCTCGAACCCACCTCGACCCGTTCGTTCTGGGGCGTATGCCACAGGCACTCCACGCGCGCGCGCGTGGCATCCTCCTGCCGCTCGAGCAGGGCCCGCCCCGCGGCGCCCGCGGGCAGCGCCGCCGCCGCCAGCGCCGGCGCGCCCGCCGCGCCAGGCCCGCCGCCGGAGGGAGCCGCGGGGCCCCACATCGCCGCAGCGCGAGGGCGGAGCGGCCAGACTTCGGCGGCGCGCCAAGGGACCTGCCACCGCTCGGACGTCCATGCCCCTCGGATTTTCTGGCTTCGAGCGTGTCCTGCCCGCCGGATGGTCTGGGATGCTCGTCGATGGTTCACACGTCCGAGCGACGCCCAGGGGAGGGCTGCGGGCGGCTTCCGCGGCTCGCGAGGGTTTCCCAGCCTCGGGGGTGCTCTCCAGCGGCTGCGGGTCACGAGCGCTCTGGGGGGGCCTGCATCGTCTTGGGCGGCGGCCGGAGAGCCGAGCTATGGTTAAGTCGGGCGTGTCCCCCTGCAAGGGGATTTTGGACGAAACGTCAAACATAGTCAACAAATACTCCAAATGGTCAAAAAATGCTCCAAACATCGTCCCCAGACATTTTTTACTATTTTTGAATATTCCTCCTGTAGAGGGACAGGCCCGACTTAAAGCTATGGCCCAACGACCAGCAGTCGTCCAAAGGGGGGCGGGCCTTCCCACAAGGCTCCGAAGGCCTCTGGCCTTCTCGGAAGTTTCATCGGCCTCCTCCGAAGCCACGGGCGGCCCCTCAGAGGGCGCGAGGGCTTCCGAGGAGCCCCGCCGCCTGCTGAGATGAGAAGGCCGGCCCCCTCTCACTTCCCCCCTCGGCGCGCCACCCTGTAATGACTACCTACCAGACCACCCCAACCTAAGCCGGAGACCCGAATTTCAGGTTGGGGGGGGTACGGTTCCACACGTGGTTTTTCAATATTCCCCGACCCCCCCCACTGGAAATGGAGGGCAAATTGAGGCCTTCGGATTGGGTTGGGGTGGTTTGGTGGGTGGTGATGCGGCGTGAGGGCGGAGCAGCTGGATTGGAAAAGCTAAAACGGCAACAACGATTGGCTCTCGGAATTCCGCGCGGGCTTCTAAGGTCGGCGCTGGACCAACCTCCCGGGGCGCGCCGGGGGCGTCGCCGGAGGCGGCGCCAGCTGGGGTCCATATCCACATCAAGGTATCGGCGCGGACATCCAAAAACTCCACCAGCTCTCTGGGCGTAGGCTAGTAGGTGGTTCCAGGGCATCATCATTTCAACCCTATGTGTCCCCGTCGCGAATGCGTTTATCACCGCTCCTGGCTGAGACACGCTCTCCCACTGGACCGCCGCTGACCAGGAAGCTTGCAGTCCCTTTCCCACCATCCCTATGAACAGTGCAACATGCACGCGTCGGCAATATCTAGATCGTGAGGGGGACCCCCGCGAGCACTTTGTACTTGCATTCGACAAGGGCGGCGGGGGTCAGCATACCCGTCCACTATGCGCTGTCACACTGTCCTTGTCAACAACAGATGCAAGCTCACTGCGGGTGCACACTTTGCACACTATGCAATCTCGACCACCCCGCCGCCACATTGCAGCATTTCTTGCCACGGATGGTTGGGGGGCCTACGCATTGCCCGATGCGTGCTGCCACGTGCGTTGGCACACTTCCCAGACATTCGATGCGTGGACTCCCGGAGTTCTGGACAACTTCCCTGGGCTCGATTCTTCACCCCGAATCGTTTCTTGAACGGTTCTGGGGCTAGTGGAGGGCTCCTGGAAACCGAAAGTGCATCTAAACTGGCGGCTCCAGTCTTCTTCGGAGCCTAGGACCCCTGGATTTAAGCTCGTCGCGCATCTGGCGCGAGTGGCGCAGTTGGCGCGCGTGGAGCACGCGGCGCAACAATCTCGGGCGCCCGGGGCGTCTCGCGTGTGAGCAGCGCACCCGGCATACGCAGCGCACCTCGTGGGCGTCGCACGCCTGGCGCCTGCATTGTTTTACTAACCCGCCTCGAGTTCTGCCCTATCCTTAAGATCGACAAGCCCAAGGCGATGACAATCTCAGGAGCGTGCCTTCAGAAACTGAGAAAATCCTTAAGATCGGCACCGAGGTAAAGAGATGCCACTCATAGGGATAGGGATATGTTCGAAGCTGGTCATGGTTCACCCCACCGACCATCGATCCTCCTGAACCGATGGGAGGCGGGGGTAGGGTTCGGACTTCGCCACGTGTTCGACAAATTTCGAACCCTACCCCCGCTGGCAATCGAGTTGCCTGAATCGTTGATCCGCGAAGGTAGGGCTCGGATTTCGCCGCCGAATTGGCTTCGTCTGTCGGAAAGCAAATAATGGCATACACATGAACTTTCTGAGACTCGCGATGATTTCTTCGATCGGCGCTGGACCCCAATGGCGGCGCCTCCGGCGCCGCCCTGGCGCGCTGCGCGCGCCAAGGAGGGGGGTCAGGCGCCGAGCCAAGGAATCCGCACGAACCTCCGAAACTTATGTGTTCATACCGGTATTTGTTCCGAAAGTAGAATTTCACAACGACAGCAGACGCCTATCGACGACCACCACGCTCACAAACAACGGAATAAACTTCTACATGAAGAGATCCGTGTACAGAAGCGGACGACGCGACGAACCCATAAAGCAAACATGCTGTAACAATTTCGGGAGTTGAAGGAGCACCCCGCGTATCAGAACACGAAGGGAACGAACTCTCATCACCCACATGACAGAAAAAAGAGCACCAGACGCACGACGCGACAAGATATCGCGACCGTTTTCGCAGAGTTCTACGGGCAAGCGTACGGCTCGACAGCAGAAGCAAAGCAACTGGAATGACCAGCGAACCAGCAGACCGACCATTGACCGCCGACCAGCAGACCGACTACCAACCAGCGGCCAGCAGAACCACCCACTACCACAGCCACCAAACGACGACCTCACCGACCACCGACCGGCAGACTGACCAGCAGAACGGCAAACCAGCAGTCCGCGCGCCTGACCGACCGACCAACCAGCAGAACAGCAGACCGACCACCGACCGCCGACCAGCAGACCAGCAGACCTGCCACCGACCAGCACAACCACCGACTCCCACCATTCACACCGACAGAGCCACACAAGGCGATGAAAGGCCTCTGGCTTGGCAAAGCCCCAGACATGAAAGGCCTTCCCGCAGAAATGCGTAAAGAGTGCGCAGGGGAACTCAGACGTGCACTTCTCCACCTCTACATCACAGTCTTGCAGCGCAACGCCCCGTCGCTGGCCAGCTTGAAGAGCACAATCATCACAATCCGTCTCGTTTGCACGATACCATTGTTGCACGAACTAGTCAGCCGGCTGCTATACAACAGGCTCCAACCAACACGTGACTCTCACCAGACAGCCGACCAGGTGGGCTTGAAACCAGGCCACTCGAACAGTGACCACCTCGTCACCTTCCATCTACTACGCGAGCTGTTGGCGCTGGAGGGGAGAGGACGGGCGCCTTTGTAACAGCGAGGGGACGCGGAGAGGGGCATCGGTACTGCCTGGCGCCTCGGGCGCCCCTAAGCCAGAGAGGCTAGCACGGAGGGACACGGGAGGGGATCGCGACGAAGGGGGCTCGGAGGGGACGGGGGACAGCGGCCCAAACTCTAGCGTGCTAGACCCCGCCGGGGCCCTATCCGCCCACGCCACGGCCCCGGCCTCGTAGCCGAGGAAGACGGGCCGTGCCGCAGCGCCAGCCTTGCCCTTTCGGGGGGCACGGGCGGGCTCCTCCGCTGCTTCCTCCTCGCCTCCTCCATCTCCTCCTCCTTCTGGGTCGCCGCGCTCGGGGCGTCTCCTGCCTCTCTTTCCTTCTTTCCTTCTCCGCCCTCCTCCTCCTCCCTCCTGCTTCTTGTCATGAGGGAAACCCGATCACCCTCATCCCTCCTCAGGGCCTCGTCCATAAGGGCCTTGCGGGAGGCCCCCCGGGAACGAGACTTCAGCGAGAGGTTGAGGGCGGCCCTCTCGTTAATGCGTCCCCCTTCGTCTACCAGACAGAGGGCCCCTCGACGAAGTAAATCGTGGAGGGCCAAGTTGCCCTTGCCCGGGTCCGCGTGAGCAAGGGGGTCGGCCGGCATACGGCCGTGGGGGGGCCATCTCACCGAGTGGCCGATGCTGGCCACACTGTCTCTCGCCACCGCCAGCTCCACAAAATTCCGCCGGTCCGCGCGAGAGCCGGCCGTGTTCCGGGACAGAGTGTCAAACGCACTCTTCGCATCGACCACGGAAAGGGCCTCGGCCTTTTCCCCCAACGAGCACTCTCGAGACAAAATGACCGAGGATGGGGCGGCTACCTGGTGCCAGTCGGGTCGGGGCGCATCGCCATGCACGGAGTCGCGCCACAGCACTTGCAGCCACTGGGCCTCCGCCACAGCGCTGCTGAGAAAAAGAGTTTCCGCCGCCACGGTGGAAGCCACCACGCGCTTCAACCGCTGGGATCTCCATGACAGGAGAGAGACGCGAGCGCGCGCGTTGTTGCGGATCCCGGAGTCGGCCGCCAGGACCAACCGGGCCCCTTGGGCCCCGCCGCGTTTCGCGCTCCCGGGACCCCCCGCGTCAGAAGCGGTCACGAACAACAGAGACTGAAGGTCCAGGGCCCAGACGGTGAGACGCTGCGATGCGGTCGCCTTCAGGTAACGACATATCTTCACGAGCATCAGTCCATCCGCCACAGTGGGGTGCGGCATCGCGGAAGCTAGCAGGGAGGCTCCGCCCGCCACGTCGGGGCGTGATTCACGTGCAACCCACTGAATTTGGGCGATCACGGCTCTAAATGATCGCACTTCCTCTGGGGTAAGGGGGGCCCCCACGTTGGCCCTGCGGCTGGAGCACCGACAGTTGCTCACGAATGTACTTCTCTGGATCGATGGACATGCGATCGCCGTACTGCTTAAAGTGCCTTCCCCCGTAGTCCGCCTCGGACTCCTGCCACTTGCCGAAGTGGAATCTGGAGGTCAAACTTTTCCTGAGCCCGGGAACAATCTCCTTAGTACCAGCAACGATCAGGTCGTCAACTTCGATCAAGATCAGGCCCTCAAGGGCCCCCCAGCGATCACGCTTTAACCATAAACACGGTTCCAGCATCGATTTTTGGAAGCCCAGGGTCGCTAAATACTCGGTCAACGTCCTGTGCCAGAGAAGCGGAGCGTCGTTAAGGCCGTACACTGGCGCAACTAGCTCGATCAGTTGATCAGCAGAGAGCGGCAGGCCTTGACACGGCTCCACGAATATCGCACCGCTGGGTCGTTTCAGCTTCTCGCTCGGGCAAAACGCATTCTTAGCGTCGGCTATGTTCAGGGCCCACCCGTGTGAAACGATAGCCTGCAACGTCGCGACCGCGCTCTCGGTCTGAGGGGTCGGGGCATACACCCGCAAAGACTCCCCGTCTGGGTCCTGGTGGCCATGGGCGCACCACCTGGACTTCGCGACTGGTTTCTTCCCGACTCCCTCCACAGGCTTCTTCCTCCTGACCATCCTGGAGCTCAGAATCCGGCCCGGATGCCTCCGCCGAACGGCTCGGGGCTCCTCCCGGGAAAGCACCCTAACAGCCCCCGTGGGCAACGTGGCTTGCCATTCTTTAAGATCGGCCTGCTCGAAATCGCGGCGCTCGTCCGCTGTCATGTCTTTCCAGCGGAACTCAGCTCCACGAGGGTTGGGGGGCTTGGGAGAGTCAGCCGAGGCGCCGGCGGCAAAGGTCGCGCCGTCCTCGGCCTCGGCTGGACCGTTCAAATACAGAAAAGGTCGAGGCCGCCGGCCGTCGACCCCCATTCACGGAGCTCGTCGATCAATCTTCGATCCTGCTCATCATCAGTTTCGTCCCAGAAGTCCGGGCCCTCATGAGGGCCCTCGAGCGACGGGTCCTCGGTCTCCAGGGCCTCGGTCCGACCTGGGGATCGACTTCGAGCTCGTGGCGCGGCCTGCCCGGAGGCTGGCCCGGCCTCCGCGTCTCGCGGGGGCACAGAGCTCGAGGCGCGCCGGGCCCGGGGGGCGGAAACATCTCGCCCTGAGCCTATGGGTCTAAACAACCTCTGATCGTTCCCTCCAGATCCGCTCCGACCCCCGACGGGGCCCCCGGCGTCGGCACCTCGACTGACGTATCTCCCCAAGTCCATAGGCTGGGGAGGCGGGGCCAGAGCGCCCAGAGCCCTGCGAAGGCCCTCCGGGAGCTCGGTCGCCGCTTCTCTCTCGCGCACCGCTCTGAGGACGGCTCCCGGGGCGGGGGGGGCCTCCTCTATAGGCGTGAGCCGCGGACGCTGAAAAGGGGGCTCCCCGCGCTCGTGGGATCCGGCGGTGTCCGCCTCGGGCCGGCGGGAGGCCGGGCCAGGCCCCCTCGGGGCCGATCTTCCAGCTTCCAAGGCGGGCCCTACTGACGCGGAAGAACCCCCGGACATCATGCGAGACATCGCCGGTCCCGACGGGGGACCGGTGGCGTCTGCGCTGCCGACACTGGGGGCGGGCTCGCGGGCCCGCGCCGCACCCTCGATCCTGGCCTCGGACAGCGCGCGGGTCTCCGGGGGCGGCGGCACGGCAGCAGAGGCCTCGGGCACGTCCCATGCCTCGGGAGGAGGAGGGCCCTCAGCTGCCACGTCAATGGCGCCGGATCGCCGAGCGGGATTCTTAATCTGCTCGCGCAAGCGGTCAAAACTCGAGCTCTCGAGGAGCTCTGCTCCCAAAGTTTCGCCGCGCGTCGCAGGCCGCACCTGCTCGGCCGAGCACTTGAGCAGTCGAGCCCGCATCGCCACCCAAACGGTTCCCCCGGGGCCCCCAGACTGAAACGCAACCACCCCCGGTCCCGTCCACCTGTCTCTCTGCAGCGAGTGGGATCGGTTCGACGACGTGATACGACGAAACACGTAGACCCACTGGCCCGGGAAAAAGGAGCGGTCCACTTGCTTCCTGGCCAGCGACGCCTCAGCAAGTCTCGAGCGAGCGTCAAGGGCGGCGAGCGATCTCCGGGCGGCCTCCCTGATCCGATGCTGTCGAGCGAACGCGGCCGCCGCCGAGTCATTGTCCGCCGCTCCGGGCTGGGCGTCTTCTGAACCGACAAGGTCGAGCCCGTCGTCGGACAGGAGGCTTCTTGGAAGGCGAGGGTCCTCGCCGAAGACGAGCTGCGACGGCGAACAGCCACCGCGATGGAAGCTGCGGTTCTTCGCCGCCACCACCTCGCACAGCAGCAAGTCCGTCTCGTCGCGAGACGTTGGGCTGCACCCCTGGGCCGCTTTCGACAAAGCCTCTTTCACGATACCTCCGTGACGCTCGCGCTTCCCGTTGTGATGCGGTGAGTTAGCTGGTGCCACGTGAACGAAGATGCCCAGGTGCTCCGCACCTCGGGCAAAAGCAGCTTCGAATTCGGCGCCTCCGTCGCGCATCAGCATCTCGGGGGCCCCGAACGGTCGGACCCACTATCTCATGAAAGCCCCCCAAACAGACCTCGACGTATCATCGCTCGCAAGAACGCATTGCTGGAATGAGGTGCCGTGGTCAATCACGTTCATAACCGGGGAGTTGACCCCGTCCACATCAAGGTAGAAGAGGTCGATAGCAACCATTATATTAAAGGCGTAAGTGTGCGGTAGGTGCGCTTTGCGTCTCCACCCCGGGCGAGCGTGGGACTCGCACTGGTCGCACCTGAAACCGTCCTTGACCCCCGCCCCAACACGTCAATCCGAGCCCCCGCAATTCTCAAAGCCCTCAGGAAATCCTCCCGGCGGGGGTGTCCCAAGTTAACGTGCAGACGCTCGACCTCTCGCTTGAGGTCAGGGTCAAGCTCAGGCTCCGGACCGGACCCCTTGGCCCGGGGCCGGACTCGTTCTTCGGGGGGGGGGGGGTCGAGTCTCCTGCTCGTCGCCACTGCTTCCGTCCTCCATGGCTTCCGCCGGGCCTCCCACCTCGTCCACCGGAAAGGAGGCAAACTCGTCGCCCGAGGTCTCAGCAGATTCGACCTCCCCGAGGGCGTTGACAGCAGCACCAGCCGAGAGGCGACGCCACGCGGCCAGCTCGACGCCGGTCGCCATCGCGGTCACCAGCGCCTCAGGATAGATCTCCGACCGCTTCGCCCTGGCGGAACCGACCAAAGAAAGATGACCATGCTTGCCCGAACATTGGCGATCACAGCGCTGAAGGAAATCGGGACTGTTGCTCATGATGGTAGTCCTCTTCCGAGATGGCAGGGGCGAGTCCGAGGAGACTTTTAACCCAAACTCGCACTGGTCGAACGAGATCGCGCCAACCCCGGGCAGGGCCCGGACCGCGCGCACGGCCTCGAGCTCCCAGGAGCTCGGCGTGTGAGGATGTTCCATCGCGAAAAACCGGCCCCGAGACGCCTGATACTCAGCCACGCGCATGCACAAGTGAACGTATCTTAGGCCTCGCACCTCCTTCTCTTGCTGCCGTTCCGGGCCCATCCGCCCCCAGTTGGGGACTCGAGCTTGTGAGAAGGCCTTGCGCACCGGGGACGTGGCCGCGAACGTCGGGGCCTCCAGCTCGAGCGCGGCCCAAAGCTTGGCCTCCCCCTTGGCGGTCCCCAGGTCCACCCCAGTGAGAACGTCCATCGCCTCCGAGACCCTGCGCCCGCGACGCCTAAGCTCGGCGGTAACCCTGGGGGGCGAGAAGATCTCTAAGGCTAGCGCCCCGCCTCGGCGCTCCTCGAGCCTCTTGAGCTCGCGCTTCTTGAGGGTCCGGGCCGCCCTGAGGCCCTGGCCGTCTAAGGCACGCGCGGTAGCGTCTCGAACACGTCGGGGGATCGTGGCCTTGGGATGGGGTGATGCTCAGCTGGCCATCTAGGGCCGCGGCCGCGAAGCGGTCCTCCTCGATGATCATCAACCTCCTGCTTTCCTTTCCTCTGGCTGGTTCCTCCTGCTGCTGCTTCCTCTCCTCCACAGTCTGGCTCGAGCTCTTTTCGCACCGGAACGTCGCGCTACAGGAGCCTCGTCCTGCAGTTCCTATCTTCTGGATGGCCTCGCTGGCTCCAATGGCCCCGCAGAGTCCTGAGACGAGAATGGCCCCGGACCTGTCCCTGACCTCCAGCCACCTGGCCCATTCTGGTATCAAAGTCCCTGGAGCTCCTCCCCCGCTGGCGCGGGGCGCGAGGCCAGTTTTTTTTTTTTTTTTTTTTTTTTTTTTTTTTTTTTTTTTTTTTGTTTTGCTTTTTGTTTTGTTTTTTGTGTGTTAAATATATATGTATATATATATGTATCACGAACGCTGCCAGCACGATGGAGAGGCACTTGCTGCCAGCCTTTCGCCGCCACGACCTCTTCGCGAGTGACCTCCCTCTTCTGGTCGAGGTCCCAGAATCGAGAACCCTCCTCGAATCTCTCCTGGAACCTGATCTGGACCCCAAGCGATTGCAGTAAACGTCGAGGTCGCGGGCAAACACGTGCTCTGGCAGGGCCGCGTCTGGGCCTAGGCGGGACCTCAGCTCGGCGCTCAGGGTGCCGGGCTCTAGGTCGCTCAACCGGGAGATGGACGCGAGTGGGCGCCCTCCTTCTCCTCCCTCTCGGCCCTCTCGGCCGCCCGGATCAGCGTCACCAGGCGCAGCATGTCGCCGTCCTCGAGGCTGAACTTGGACGGGGAGATGGCCGTCTTCTGCTGCATCTCGCGAATGTACTCGGTCTGAGTCGTGACCATCTGCACCATCTGGTTGAAGGAGGCCTCGTTTCCCTTCTTCTGAGACTCCATCGCGGTCGTCATGTCGTAGAGCGCCTGCTGCATCTCGGCCACGGTCATGGCACGCATGTGCGGAGGCGGGTTGTGACGCTTCGGAAGCGGCGCACCTGCCGGCGGAGCCTTCTTGGGAACGTAGCCTTCGCCCGTGTTGACCAGGGGCGGGCCCGTCTCCGGCACTGCCTGAGGCCGATTCTTGGCTGGCGGTCCCTTCGGCCTCGGCTGCGGCGGCGGGTGCGTTCAGGGGTCCATGCTGTCGTGCTCCTCGATCAGCGCCTGCAACTGGTCCTGCGCGAGCTTCTTGGCGGCCTTGTTGAGCGCGGTGCGCTGGCGCTCCGTCGCCTTGCGAGCCGCGATCTCCGCCTTCTCCTCCTCGGTCTTCTTGCGGTAACTCAGGCGGGAGTCGCACTGGGTGCAGTCCGTCCACCAGGCATGCTGGTTCCCCATGGAGACTCGGGCCCAGGGCGGGCGCGCGCAGTCCTCCTTGGACATCTTCTCCTGGGCCGCCGGGCACTCCGTCATCGCGTCCATCATTCCGATGCATGCCCGGCTCAGCCAGAGAGCCTTCAGTGCAAAGCGCCTCCAACGCAGGTGCGCCGGCTCCACGGCGTACAGGCCCTCGTTGAACCACAGCTGTTCCTGGTAGCTCAGCGCCTGGGCCTCCATCACCTGGTTCATCCTCTCGATCTCCTCCTCCGAGGGCTCCACGCCCGCGGCTTCCCACGACGAGTCCAGCGTGTCTAGGCCGGGGTCCTCGGCGCCCACCACCATCTGAGCCCTGCGGCGAAGTCCGGCCAGCGCCGTGCGACCCGTCTTGGGCTTCTCCTTCGCCTTGGCCGTCTTGACAGCCTTCAGGTCCTTCGCCATCTCGAGCTGCGGCGGGTGCCGGCGCGCTGCTCCGATCGGATCTGGTAGCTGGGGCCGAGAGGAGCTGCATGCTGGAGCTGGGCCGCTGACCCCCGCCCCCCGAGACCCGAGTGGCGACGAGAGAGGAGGGGGATGAGCAAGATCTGCTGCCTGCGCCGCTGCTCCCTCCACGCCTACTG